CTCAATAAAGAAGCAAGCAACAACCCAAGTTTATACCACAGCATATTACCAAAAAGAGTAAACTAAGCCTATAATTAGTAGAAATAAGGAAATCAAAATATTAGAGTAGAAATAATCACAAAGAAAAGAGAAAAAAAGATAGTTTGGCTTTTATAGAGGCACTCACATATGCCAGCTAGTCTTCAGCAAATTCACCAAAACTACACAAAGGGGAAATTGTCCACAAATGCTCTTTCAAAAGCTGTATATCTGCATACCTTGATCTTAGACCGCACACGAAATTAACTCAAAAGGGGCTGAAGACTTAGATATGAAATCCAGGTAAAACTTGCAGAGAGCAGAGGGGGAAACTTCTCAAGTTGGTCTCCACAAGGATGTATTGGAAATGGTACCATCCATACAGGCAGTAAGAGCAAACCCGGGCTAGTAGGACTGCATCAAATTAAAATCAGCGCAGCTTGAATGCAGCACGCGAGCAGAATAAAAAGCAAACTACGGGATGAGAAAGTAGTTGTAAATGACATATCTGACAAGGTGTGTACAGGCCCATTCTTACCGTCAACTTGACACAAGTTAAAGCCATCTTGGAGGAAAGACTCTCCAATAAAGAACTGCTTCAGACAGATTGGCCTGTGGCCGTGTCTGTGAGAGATGACCTAGATTTATGACTGATGCGGGAGAGCCTAGCCCATGCTGGCTGTCACCATCACTAGATAGGTGGTCCTGGGTTATACAAACAAGCTAGCTGGGCACGAGTTGGGGAGTGAGCCAGCAAGCAGAGATCTTCCAGGGTTTCTGCCTCAGCTCCTGCCTGGAGTCCCTTTGATATCGGTCCATAACCTATACGTTGACATAAACCCTTTCTTCCCCATGCTAGTTAGTTCTGTCAACATGGCACAAACTGGAGACACCTGGGAGGGAGGAACCTCAATTGAGGACCCGCCACCATGAAACTGGCTTACCTATGGGGCATTTTCTTGGTTGCTCATTGAAAGGATAAGGGCTAGCCCACTGTGGGTGGTGCCCCAGCTAGCCAGGCGGTTCTGAGTTGTGTAAGAGAAATCTGAATGCCAACCTGGCAGTAAGCAGTTTTCTCTAGGGACTCTGCTTCAGTTTCTACCTCTATGCTCCTGCCTTGGCTTCCCTTGGTGATAGATTGTGACCTGGGAGGTTTGAGATGCTGTTATTAACCCTTTCTTCCCCGAGTTGCTTTTGGTCAGTGTTTTATCACAGCAACAGAAACCAAGCTAGGGCAAAGTTGTAATATCTAAAATACATAAGGGACCCCTACAATTCAGCAGCAAAAACAAAACCTGATTTTAAAATGAGCAAAGAATGTAGATAAACTTTTCTACAGAGAAGATATATTGATGGCCAGAGTGTGCATGAAAAGATGCTAGCATCAGCAGGATGCTGGTGACGCATGCCCTTGATCCCAGCACTCTGGAAGCAGAGGCAGGTGGATCTCTGTGAGCTTGAGGCCAGTCTGGTCTACAGAGAGAGTTCCAGGACGGGCTCCAAAGCTACACAGAGAAACCCTGTCTCAAAAAAAACCCCAAAAACAAAAAACAAAAAAGATACTAACATCACTAACCACTGGAGAAGAACAAACTGAAAATGTAGTGATGTATCTGCTCACACCTGCTAACATGGCCATTACTTAAAAGCAAACACAAACAGAAAATAGTCCAGGGCAAGAAGTCTGCTGTGAGATTGTGTCTCCTAGATATGTCACCCACGATGCCTCAACAATATGAGCGCTGAAACAGGACCTGAAGAAGTACACCAGCTGACATGGACATGCTAACGTGGAAGGGGAAGTCTCATGGGGACCCCATGCATAGACAGAGAACTGCAGTCAATAAAGACTGCCGAAAGAGGGGCGTCTTCCTTAGGGATGAGCCTCCTGATTGGTTATGCAACGCCAACTGGTCAGACCAGAAACTATAGACACACAAGCAAAAGGAAACAACAGACTGAGCGGGTTGCATTCATATATTTAGGTATACAGATGTACCAATAACAATCAAAGAAAACGAGGCCATGAATTTGTGGGGGAGTGAGGGGAAGATGGGGGCGGGGTTGGAAGGAGCCTGGGAAGCATCAAAGGAGAGGAAAGGGAGGGAGGTAGATGCTGTAAATATATTAATTAATTCTTTTAATATAAAGAGGGAAAAAGAGGGTTATGTAGAGAGACCCTGTCTCAAAAAAAAAACTTTAAAACACAATCACCATTTAATCCCACTTTTGAGTACTTATCTGAGAGAATGGATAACACCCCCAGACATATATCCTTACTCCTGAGTACATTGCGGCATAGTTCCTAATAGGCACCAGGTGGAAACAACCTAAATGCTCACTGACGGACAAATGGATAAAGAAACCAGTACACAGATAAAGCAGAATATTAGTCTCGAAAAGAAGGACACTTGTGGGATGCTACAATATGGATGGACACTGAGAACATCACACTGAAGGAAATTAACCAGTCAAAAGGCAAATTCTGCAGGATCCAATTTCCCTAAGGTATGAAAATGGTCACATTCGGGCTGGAGAGCTGGCTCAGTGGTTAAGAGCACTGACTGTTATTCTTCCAGAGGTCCTGAGTTCAACTCCCGGCAACCACATGGTGGCTCACAACCACCTTGAATGAGATCTGGTGCCCTCTGCTGACATGCAGGCAGAAGATTTTATACATAATAAAGAAAAGAAAGAAGGAAAGAAAGGAAGGAAGGAAGGAAGGAAGGAAGGAAGGAAGGAAGAAAGAAAGAAAGAAAGAAAGAAAGAAAGAAAGAAAGAAAGAAAATGATCACATTCGTCAGAACAGAAGGTAGAGGGGTGCCTGCCAGAGGCTCAGCACAGGAAACAGGAAGTCACTGTTCAAAGGGTGTGGAATTCCAGGCAAGATGCAAACATTCTATAGTGTGGACAGTAGTGTGCTTGCACATACATGAGAGACTTGATGCTGTGGCTTTTACCATTGGGGTGGGCACTGTGGGGAGGAGCCAACATCCTGAACAGCCGTTTCACAAAAGACCTTATGCTGGTCCCTAAACAGAAAAATGGCCTGTTGCATTGGTGTGATCTTAACTGTCCACTTGACTGGGTTAGGATAGTCTAGATGACGGTGAAGCACGGCTCTGGGTGTGTCTGCGCAGGAATAAACAGGAAAAGGCTAACACTGGAGCACACTGGAATTCCCTTTCCTCTTCTTCCTGATGCACCACAACATGAACTTCTCTGCTCCTCATGCCCTTCCCACTGTGACAAGACAGCCCTTTCCTCCTTCAAACTGTGTATGTTGGGTAGCTTAATCACAGTGAACGAAAAACAGCTAATGTAACTGGTCATCAGCCTAACGCAAATAAATTAACAAGTAACCATCATTGTTCATCTACTAGATTTGACTGGGAGAAAAAAATTCTTTTTGTTTTGGTTTCTCTGTATTGTTTTGGACCCTGTCCTGGCACTCGCTCTGTAGATCAGGCTGGCCTCGAACTCACAGAGATCCTCTTGCCTCTGCCTTCCCAGTGCTGGGATTAAAGGCATGCACCACCATCACCAGACAAATATTTTTTTAATCTGGCAATAATCTGGATAATAAGAATGCTGAAAAATAGGAACTCTTGTTCTCTGATAGTACAATTGCTGTCTATGCCCGTTTGACATCATACAATGAAGTTATTTACACAGAATTAATTAACAAAGTTAAGCACACCCATGCCCATATCTTTACCAACTGGGATAGGCCTCTAATAGGTCTGCAGCAACAGTGTGTGAATCTAGATGAATACACTGTCCCTAGCTTTTCACAACTAATCAAACAGGCCTGGACCCCACAGGAATGCAAGAAATCTGGCGGAAATTATCTCCTCAAGTTTGAGTGACAGGCCTGGTAGATCCCTGGAGGCCAAAGACAAAACTGCTGTCATAGACTCGACACTTGCCATTCCTTGAGTTTAGGTCTATTTAGGGCAATAGAATACAGGAGTCAGGAGGCATAATGGGGATAATGGGAAAGATAATGGAGACAATAATAAATCAACTGGGAAATTTTGAGCAAGCAGGACTCCTATAAGGTTCTGAATTGAACTTACTCATAGGTAAAGTAGTCGTAGGTTAGGCAACAAGGTGCTTGCCTCCCCCACAGCTGGCCAGCCCAGGAACAAGGGAAGACAAGGTGGGCTGACCCTGCAGTGAGAAACAGACTCGGGGCTGAGATCACCATACACAGGTCCTCTTCCCGGACTGGTACAGTAGTTTTGTCCATTTTTCCTCTTCTGAGATTGCACAGACATCCTTCTACCTCTGAGCAAACAGAACAAGGGTCAGCACCCTCCATAAGCACTCCTCAGACATTTAGGGATGGTCTGCTTCACATCCAATACTTGGTGAGGGAGATGTAACAGTCCCCACTTTGCAGATAAAGACAAGGACAGAAGTGTCAGGTGACATGCCACTCTCCCACCATCAGGACCTGATTGAGCAAGAGCTGGATTATATTTAACCCGGAAAGAGTATCTGGAGAGGAGGGGTGTTTGGTTTTCATCTGTTTGATCTTGAGATGGCATCTCAGGTAGTCTAGGCGGGTCTCAAATTTGTTATCTAGTTAAGGATGACCTTGGACTTCTGATTCTCCTGCCTCCAGCTCCCAAGCACCCAGATAACAAGTGTCTGCCATCATGGCTGGCTGCAGAGGCTGGTGTTTCAATGACTTACCATCCTGCCACTCAAGACCACGGGACACATCTTCCCAGGAACAGGGCATGAGAGGGCGTGGGAGTGGGAGGTTGGGGAGAGAGTAGCCACAGGCAATGACAGAAGCAGTTAGAATAAACAGGATGTCTCGGGAAGAGACTGAAGACAACATCAGTGTTCAGAAACGATCAGCCAGGGGCAGCCGGGGAGAGAAAACAAGACCCCATGCAGAAGAGAGAGGCCAGCTGTATCCACACTGGCAGGGTGCTCTGCATCCAGGCATCCAGGAAGAGCGGCGATGGGGCAGAGGGGTTATGGTAACTGGTGCACTGAGGACGTGATGCAGTAAAAACTCAAATGCTACTTCAAGTTAATTTCTTATGGGACCAGCTAGAAAAGGACTCTTGCATTTTAGGAATACAAGCTGTAGAACATGTCTAGCAGGGCTAAGTCTGGATGTCATCAGAAGAGACAAGAAATTATAATTAAATTTACCTATTTTGATATCTGTTAAACTGCTTACTGGGATAAGATGCTTTTAAATGAACTATTTGTGTTGCTAATGGCATGACACCACGTACTGGATGAGTTTAGGAGGATGTAGCTGTAATGTGTCTCATGGTTCTAGGGGAGCTCAAAGTGCAGTGACTGAGCCTGGTGATGTCCGCCTTGCTGACACCATTTTGGGGGTGACACAGAGAAGTTAAGCAGCTTGGAAGAGTCTCATAGCTGTGGAGCGGAGGAGTGCATTGAGCCTGAGTTGTGAACGCCCACCGGTTGGCTGCAGTATGCCTGCCAGTCTGCGGAAAACCAAGCCATCCCGCCCTGGCACGTCTGGATTCTACGTCCCGCAGCGGCGGTGCGCACAGCTGAGGGGAGTCTGGTCCTGAGTCAGGTGTCTCTCTCATCGGGCTGCAGAGCAATAAGGGCACCTAGGGGGACTGATCGCGACGCCAGACCCAAGAATCCTACAGCGAGAAGGGGCTCCAGCTCACGCTCCGCCGCAGGGGGGCGCCCCTGGCCGGCTGCTGCTAGGCTATCGGTCCCCGCCACAGGGCGCGTCGCTGGCAAGATGATGTCGCTGTCCGGCGGGGAGCGCCCTGCGGGGCCAGGTACCCGCCTGTCCTGGCTGCTATGCTGCAGCGCCCTGCTGTCCCCAGCAGCCGGCTACGTGATCGTGAGCTCCGTGTCCTGGGCTGTCACCAATGAGGTAGACGAGGAGCTGGACAGCGCGTCCACCGAGGAGGCACTGCCCGCGCTGCTGGAGGACTCGGGCAGCATCTGGCAGCAGAGCTTCCCGGCCTCGGCTCACAAGGAGGACACGCACCTGCGGCCTCGGGGTTCCGCCCGCGCCAGGCCCGCACCAGTCCCGCGTGGAATGTTCTCCTATCGGCGGGAGAGCGGCTCACCCGCAGCATCCCCCGGCCCTAGGGTGCGTGCCAGCACCGCCCGCTCCCTGGTCCACGCCAGCTCCTGGGGTTGTCTGGCCACCGCATCCACCCACGAAAAGGTAAACCAGAGGTGGGGATGCGGGGGTGGTGCGGGTCTGGTTTTGGTCCGCAATTCTGGGGCGAACCCCAGAGCCCAAGGCGACTCGGGGTTTCACAGGTGCATAGACTGGAGATGCCTTGTGGATAACGGAACCCGCTGTGCAGGAGTCGGTTCATCTAAGTGCACATGAGAGGGGAGAAAGGCGACCCTGGGAAACAATCTGGTGGTTAGTGACTGAATGCCTGTCTTAAGATGGCCAAAGAGATGGTCAAATACTGAGCGTCACACGGAGACCTGGAAATCAGACAACATCGCCTTTGGAATCACAGATGAAGTGCCTTCAGCCCCTGCAGGCTCTGAGCACTGTCCCGCAGGCTAACTCCCGCACCACCTCCCACACCAAGTGGGCGTGGGAGAAAGGCACCATCAACGCATTGGTAGAAATTTACACACACACACACACAAAATAATGAAACTCGAATTTTTGAGAAAGACGACTTAGGCAAAGCGTAACTGCTGGAGAGAACTGTTTCAGCCTCAATTTCTCTCTTTGAGTCCACAAAGCATTCACACGTTAACCTGCTTCACCCAGAATAGGGTGGAGAGGTCCTGCAGCTGCATATTCTGTAAGAATAGCCTCCAGAAACCTTCTAGTCCTGTCTGATAGAGATGTGATCCGAGCTCCCGATTCATCTGTGCACCGAAGGACTGACATCCTTTGGTTATATATCTCACTGTGTGGGAGTGGAGTTCTTCCCTCAACTCTGGGTCTCGCTAGCCAAAGCGCCCTATTTTCCCATCTACAAAATTAAGTAATTCAGTAGGCAGATCGTGGAAGTTCTTTTTATTTTCCTAAAAATTATCCAATGACAACTTTATCCTAGTAATGGCAATGATCTTGTCTTCTTTCTGTGGCAGAATCCCAGCCAGTTCTGTATTCTCAGTGTCCGAACAGTCTTTACACTTCGAATGCATACCTTAATAGAATACAGAGCTTAAATATGAAGCAAATCATCGTAGAATGTTTGAGGATCTGAGTTATCCAACTTCCAGAACCCATGTGTTTCGTTTGTTTGTTTGTTTGGCTGGTTGTTTTTTTTTTTTTGTTTTGTTTTGCTTTGCTTTGTTTTTGCTTTTGTTTTTGTTTTGTGCCAAGCATGGTATTGTGACTGTGTGTATAATCACAAGTGGATATTTAGGGCTTGCTGGCAAGCTAGCCTGTCCTACTTGGGGAGTCCCAGGCCACTAAGAGACGCTATCTAAAAACTGGCAGTAATGGACCTTAAGGAATGAGGCCAAGAGTTTATCCCCTGACCTCCGCATGTTCACAGCATGCATGAGCACCACATGCACAGGCACACTAGAATGCATGAATACACATACACACACACACACACACACACACACACACACACACACACCAAAAAAAAATCTGGTGCCTCAGGCTTGGTAGCCCACCTCCCCAGTCCCAGCTCCAACAAGGTGAAGGCAAGAGAACTGTGAGTTTAAAGCCAGCTCTAGCTACATAACCAGATCCTGCCTTACAAAAACAGACAACCAAAGAAGAAAAAACATCTAGTGTCCTTTTATTGAAGATATTTTGACCTTCAACAGCTCTTTTGCTAGCTTCCATAGGCCTTTCAATATTGACTTCCAATCCAAACTCAGTAAATTCTGAAAACATTTGCATGAAGGCCATGAAGTGGTTCATGATAGGCTGAAAATAGAACCCGTGGATGATGTAATATTGCCATTTGGAGAATTCATTAATCTTTCACGTTTCTAAATGATTTAACCCCTTCCTTTCACAATCTTGCACACTATGTCAGGTGCTAGAAAAACAATGGCACCCTCCCTGGGGGGGAGCAGGGGAGGGGCTCTTTGTAAGCAGCAGGTGCAGCAGAGTTTGGGGAATGCCGAGACTTTAATGCTTTTGTTTCTGTTTAGAATCACATGAACATGACTTGGGGCCCTCCCGCATCCACTAGATGAGCACAGGAAGAGATCAATATGTCATGCTTCTGTGGCTTCCATTTAGGCTAAAAGGATATCTAACATATCTACTTCCCATAGCTTGTTCAGTTATATTCCAAAGGGTCATTGATCACAGTATAACATACAACTAACAACAAAGAAATGCTGCCCTAACTGACATAGTATAGAATATTCTTGACATCCAAAGATCAAGTATTTTATTAAATTGAATGAAATTCTATCCCCAAAGTTTAAAAAGAACGGAGGAGATGATGAGGGAAGGCAGCAGGTGGTTAAGAGGAGCTTGTGGGAAAGGCCCAGCCCTGTCTGCTTCTCCACAGGCCTCATTGTCCTCACCCTTCAATAAACTGAGAGTGTTCATTGTGTGGAGGCCACTTCCAGAATCCGTCAGCCCCCAGACAGAATGCTCTTACCTGCCTCTCCCCCCCCCCAGAGAAATTCTGAAACCATCACTGGGTGAATTGCACGGATTGGGACCACCTAGCCTTTATGTACCTGTCAAATCCACTGGTCCAAAAAAAAGTCCCTAGTGCCTTATTTCCTGCCCGGAAACACAAAGTAGTTTGTCCCCAACTTGTGTTACCCATAGCTCTGCCACCAAAAAACAAACAAACAAAAAAACAGCCTTTTTGTTGTTATTGTTGCATTTGTTAGATCCAAGGACTGCCCTTTGGGAGCTGCCTGGCCATCAGCGATGGCCCGTTTCACAACAGCACGGGGACTCCTTTCTTCTACATGACAGCCAAGGACCCTGTGGTGGCTGACCTGGTGAAGAACCCCATAGCCTCATTGATGCTGCCGGAATCCGAAGGAGACTTTTGCAGGTGTGGGGGGGGCAAGGGGAGAGGGAGGGTTTGTTCTTACAGGTTTGAGCAGGGTGGGCTGCACACTGACACAGATATGTATTGACGTCTTTACTCTTAGAATTCTACTGCAGACCAAGCAAATGATTTGGAGCAAGCTACCTAACATTTATTCATCTATAAAGTGGGAGGGTCCCTGGGCTTGGACTTCCACTGGGGTCACGTGTCCAGTGAGCCTGCTATAAACTGAACCTTTTGTCAGTTGAAATATGGGTGCTACACTTAACTTACCAAACACCCATGCTCAACCTACCCCACCTTAACTTTTTTCAGAGCATTGGCTTTGACCCACAGGTGGACAAAGCCATCTAACACAAAGCCTATTTTGTGATAAAATCTTGACAGGGTGCTTTGTTGACTATTGTACTCAAAGGAAAACACAGGCTTTTCTGTATCTACAGCCTAGGAAAAGGGTGAAATTCATAATGCAGAGTTTTCTGAGTATATGTCACTTTGAAGCCAACATGTAGATGAAAATTCATAAGCTGAACCATCAGAGGTTGGTATTCATAATCATTTCCACCCTACAGAGTGCTTATGAGCCTTGGAAATAGGTGCAAGTTGTCTTCTGAGAGGTCATTTTTTTTTGAGACATGGTCCTGTGTAGCCCATGCTGGCCTTGAACCTACTCTGTAGCTAAGGATGCATACACCACATTTGGTTAATGCTGAGCTGGGGATTGAACCCAGGGACTTATGGATGCTAGATGAGCCCTCTATCAACTAAGCTACATCTCTAGCCCAAGGTACCTCATCTGACATCCAGGTGGCTGATCAAAGCTCTAGTACTATAAAGGGAAAAGCTGTTGGGAGTTGAGGGGAAAGCCAGTAGTTTGTCTCTCTGGCATTTACAGGCTGGAGTATATTGCTTTTTCAATTCATTTATAGCCCCCTCTCTCCCCAGGGGATGTGTGTAATACAAAGCCAGCATCCTTTAATATACTTTCTCAAAAACTCTCTAAAAGAAAAGCCTTCTAAAGGCATTTAAGCAAAAATAGAGCAGTCATTCAGATACCTTTGTCTAAATTCAAAATGCAAATCCCCAAATCATTTGCTGTCCAGGAGACACTGTACTGAGCTCCTGTGAAGGTCCCCTCCCCACCCCAAAGAGTAACAATTGTCACAGGGTGACCTGGAGGGGAGGGCAGAATAACCCCTGGCATCTACCATTTCATCTGAGAACGCATAAGTGATTGAGAGCGCTCCCGCCACTCTGAAGCTCTATTCTCTATGCACAGCATAGAAAACAGCCAACCATCCTGGTTGTTCTTGTGGAAACCAATTAGAGCAATAATGAGGTATCAAATGCAGCCTGGGAGAGGTCTTGCCAACCCCACTCCTATCATCTGTCCTCAGCAATGAGAGATTCAAACTACAGGACTTCCACTGTACCCCACCAGGCTATGGCCAGCCAGGGAAATACTACTCGTTTGTCATGGAATAGTCTCCCTATTCTTAGTCAATGAATTCACTGCTACTAGAGATACATTCCCAGAAGAATTTCCTAACCAGAATGGTTCCCCTAATTCCAGGGTCCTAAAAACAGCCACGCTATAGTGTGTTGATCCCAGAACCCAGAGCACGCCTGCTATCGAAGCAAGCCACAGAATTCAGTTCCAAGAGCAATTTGCCGTTGCACTTGGCTGCACAAGATTAGCCAACCAGCAGACCTCAGTGTGCAAGGACTGAGGACTGCAGTGATAAGGAAGCAGTCGCCGTAGAAGCTGGGGGAGGGACATGTCTTGCAGTACCTCAATCCAGCCACTTGCCTTTGCCTACACACTGTGTGTGTGTGTGTGTGTGTGTGTGTGTGTGTGTGTGTGTAGGAGGAGGAGGAGGAGGGTAACTCCTTTGTGCAAGGCCACACAGAGAAATTGCAAACATCTGTGTACCATGCTGAGTAAGAAACAAGACAGCATCTGCCCAAAAGTGATGTTTCCGGGGTCAAGGGCACACTTATATCCCCGACCTATGGATGGAAGAAGCCACACCCACTGGTACCCTGTGCCTAGAATCTTCTCTTGGAACTGTTTCCTAGAACTGCCTTAGCACTACTTAGACTTCTGAAGTATTGAAATGTGGTATAAATTAAGCTTGCCTCAGAAAGGAGCAGACTTCCAAGCAATGTTCTGAAGTGAAGCTATACCTTCCGGTGAACAACTCGGGGCCGGGTGTGGGGTTCACATACAGCACTGGGTTGAAACTCCTGAAACCTAGAATGTTAGTAACATTGAACACAAGGGCTGAATAAGCCAAAGCCTGCATCAAAAGACAGACGGTGCCAGAGCCCCCAAAAAAGCCAGCATGGAGCTCCTGGGGCCACCCGACGGAGAGAGGCATCTGGTAGAAGCAGCTGCTAGAATTGCATCCCAGACAAGCGCCTCAGTAGAGTTTAGAAAGACCAACAAGCCGACTCCTGCCTGTTCCCAGATAGCACTGGTGAGAATGGTCCATGGCCAAGTGCGTCGCGGCGATTCTGGCTCCTGGGCGGGGTTTGGAACCCTCCGGTTCTCATGATGGTGATAGTGGTGAAGGCACTGAGCCAACCCTCTGTTAAAATCTTTCATGAAGAAAACTGACAGAACCCTCCCAGGCCCTGTATGACCAGGCGTTCGTTCCCTCTCGGAACAGATCACTGTGCCTGCTGCTTCTCTTTGCCAACTCTCTTAATATTTTATTTATATCCAGTTTTACCAAATTAAAAGTCCAACCCGAAGGCTCGTTGTGATCAAAGCTTGCATAAGCACTTTGGCAGGAAGCTAAGAAACACTTTCCACTTAGAAGGCCCCACAGTATGTCACTCAAAATGGTGTTTCAGTCCTTTAGCTGCCTGTGTATTAAAATGTCTGATCCTGGGACTGGAGGGATGACTCAGCAGTTAACAGTGCCTACAGCTCTTGCAGAAGACCTGAGTTGGTTCCCAGCACCCGTGCTAGGCAGTTCACAGTCATTTGTTACTCCAGCGTCAGGGGATCCAGCGCCCTCTTCTGGCCTCCAAGGGAACCTGCATACATTTGACCTATATTCACACATACAAATAAAAAAATCTTTTTTTGTAAAGGTTAAATCCAAGTGGAAATTGGGGAAGGAAATTGAGGACCTAAGGCTCCAGACTTTCTAGATTCCAGAGCCTCCGGAAATGTAACCATGGGGAAAGTGCTGTTTGTGTAATTTCTTCAACCAAAGGAGAAAGAAGCTGGCATCTTGGGAATGGTGAAAAGAATGCACACTGCTTCCTAAGGGACAGATTTTAGAGGCCTGGGAGGTCTTTTTCTCGCTAGATCTCTTGTTTTATTTATATGTATGTGTGTGAGAGTGTGTGCACACATGTGCGTGCAGGTGCACGTACCTAACCATGCTCAGGCCAGAAGAGGGTGGCAGATGCCTCAGAGCTAGACTTACAGGCATTTGTGGGGCACCTGCTTATGACCTGGGCGCTTGCATTCCAACTCCAGTCTCTATGACTGCAGTCACTCTTCCCTGTGAGCTGTCTCTCTGTCCCAGAAAGGGTTTTGTTGTTCTTGTTGTTTTTGTTTTGTTTTGTTGGTTTTTCAAGACAGGGTTTCTCTGTATTGTTCTGAAGCCTGTCCTGGAACTCACTTTGTAGACCAGGCTGGCCTCAAACTCACAGAGATCCGCCTGCCTCTGCCTCCCGAGTGCTGGGATTAAAGGTAACCAGCCGACATCTAAAAGACAATAGGAGATTCGAGTTCCTGGAATCGAGCTGAGGCCTGTATCTGAAATATCATATTCGGGCCCTGGCACTGCTTGAGCTAAATTTCAAACACCAGGTCGGGCAGGGCTACATCGCAAGACCCTGTCTCAGAAAACAAAAACAAACGGAAGACTAACTGTGAATAGTCGATGTAAGCCTCAGCTCAGCCTGATACCAAGCACGATTCTGGATAGCTTGGAAGGTGCTGGTTCATTCAGCAGCTCCCAGGCTGATCTTCAACAAGTGAGTGCATTGGAAGCACCTGCTGGCAGCAACTTGGTCCGCAACAGCTGTGATGAATGTCCGTCTGAAAAACAGCATCCGCCAGAGACGTGACATGCGTTTTAAAGCATAGGGCCCAGCCCTGCTCAGACTCAGGAACTGAATCCAATTTCTCTTCCCTGGTTCTTCTTCATGCCTCTTGAAAGCAATCAATGAACCCTCTAAATAAGTGGCCCTCTGTGCAGTGTCACCTCCTCTCCCCATTTGCCTGAGCATTCCTGTGTTGTTCGGGCTAAGCCAATCTCAGCAGCTTTTAAAAGAGCATGCAGGACTCCACAGAGAGAAAGCCTGCTGAGCAGGTGTTCATGATTCTCTCCCATCTTCTGCTCATTTCTGTGAGCGTATCTCTCAGCAAACAGTAGCCAGTTTGCTCTCTCTATGGAGTTCAATCCCAGGGGTTCCCAGCTAGCCATTAATTTACCCATGTTCCAGTTTTTCTGCCCTTTCTTTCTGTCTTCTGACAACTCCCCCCCCCCATCTGCTCACAAATGTTGTGGGAAGAGTCTCCATCTTAAGCAGGAATAACTCAAACGACACAAGATGGTAACACCCATAAATGTCGACTCTTTCAAAAGGCTTTTTAGCACTGTGAAGGTAGATGAAAATGTATTATCAAAGGGCCCCAAGCCCCATACAATTATTCATCTACTTCCATCTCTATGGACTTATATATTCTGGGAATTTATTTATTTATTCTGAATATCATATAAATGGAATTACAGAATATGTGATTTCAAGGGCCATGATTTTACAGGATTTATCAACAATCCATTCCTTTTAGTGGCCAAATAGCATATTCCATTGTTTGACTGCATCATGTTCATCAGTTTCTAGCCATCTCTGGGTGGCTTGATGGACATTTGTCCCCATGCTGCAGGCATCATGAATAATGGCTGTTGCTGTGGGCATCCATGTCCAGTTTCTGGGCAGCCATACACTTCAGGTCTCTTTGGTATGTACGTAGG